ATAACACTATAAATCAGCTTCAAGCGTAATAGAGAAAAACAACTATAACAACAACATAAACGAACAGCTAGTACTACTCAAGACTTAATCTACAAAAGCGGCTGAAAAATATCTCCACCATGATGAACACACAGCCGTAGTTTTTGGATAAATAACAGGTGCACATCTCTCAACACGTGCTCCCTTATGTTCAGAAAAGCATCCTTAATCCTTACCTTCATATTTTTCGGGGTAGATGGTGGATGTCTATAAACCTCTTAACGTAGCCCCATAGAAAGAAGTCCATCGATGTCATATTTGGTGATCTAGGAGGCCAAGATATAGGCCCATTACGACCGATCCAACGATTGTTACTCCAGGTGTCCAAATAGTTACGCACACGATTGTGGTAATGCACAGGTGCGCCGTCATGTTGGAAGTACATATGCATCCAAGTTTGCAGGTTGACATCATCGTAAAGAAAATACTCGATCAAAAATTCAAGTAATATGTACCTGTTAATCTGTTGTCGAAAAAGAAAGGCCCGATAATTTGTCTGCCAATAACTCCTCCCAACCATTCAAGCTCCATTTATTTTGGAAATCTATTTGCCTAACCCAGTAAGGATTTTGCGACGCATAGTAGTGTTACGCCTGTAGACAGAACATATGCTGTTAAAAGTTGCCGCATTGCTTAAAAGAACCTTATCCCGGAAAGTAGTGTCTTCACTCACCTTATTTAGCATTATTCTACTAAACCCCATTCGAGCTGCGAAATCCTGAGGACGAAAGCCTTGATGCAAGCATATGTGATATGGATGGTACCTATGCTTATGAATAATCCTTATGATACAAGTTCTGCATATGTCAGTTTCTGCTCCAATTTGCCGTGCACTTAAATGGGGATTTTCTTGCAACTTTAATAGAACCTCCAACTGATTTGCCAGCTTGGTGACACTTCTATTATTTATACATTTTTTACTATATTCCACTGCTTCACTTGACTCAAAACGTTCTCGTAGTGTGGAAAATATTTCCGGCCTTGGATGTCGCATATTAGGGTACCGTTGCTTATAAAACGAACGTGTTCACCATTTATTCTTTAGAAAAATTCATTTTCAAACACGTTTTCATTATAATGCTCACAAAGCTAATTTTGATAGTTTGTAGCTAATCAACAATTTATTTGTTTCCAAAGGCGAAGCGATATTTTAGCGAATTAAGCCGTTCCATAAAAGACGTGCAAATAACCGAAAAAATAGCCGTAAAAACCGTTATGTCTCTAGTATAAAAAAAAAATTGATTGAATAAAAACTTGCACAAATATACAGGTTGATGCATTTGAAATTTTTGAGAAAAACTAAAATTTGCGTTTTTGACCATTCTGTAAGAGCAAAAATTAAAATTCGAAAAAGTAACAAATGAGGTATGCATACCCTCGGGATCACACCAGCTGTGAAGTTAGGATAAATAATTCATATTAAGTGAAATTAGCTGCTTAAGTATATAGATGCAGTTCCACGGGGTTTCAGCACATGGCGTCTGTGGACATTGGCAACAGCTGAATCAGCTCCCTTCCTCAGGGGCTGCTTGGAACTCTCATTACGGGGCAGGACGTGGAAAAGTCGTCAGGGCTTCATCTGAAGGTATCAGCACTCGTTTGGTGGAGAAAACGTAAGGTGAAGAAGATGAAAAAGTTGGAAGAAGATGAAAAAGGCCTGAAATAAAAATCCAATATGGCGCTGGGTTCCATTTTAACGCAAGCCGAATTGCTTACCTCTGTTGGAGTGTGGCCTAAAAGTGTCGGCTAGAACGCCGTAAAAGCGTCGAAGACTCCCGTCTCCCACATCCACATAAAAAGGAAGAACGCTTAGACTTCATTTGGCGTAAAGATCCGCAAAATGCGTGCTTCTCAACAGAGCTACGACCAAAAAGTGAAGCTTCTTCAACTTGGACGCGGAACACAAAGTTCGAGAGGAGCAATGGAGCAATGGAACAACAGCGGACTGTTCCCGGACTGAAAGGACCGAACAACTGTCAAAATGTAACATTGTGGTTAGGAAAGAAACGAAGACGTAAACAATTCTCAGATGAAGGGGCCTCAACTACAAAATGAGATAAGTAGGTGGAGAGTTACGCATAAGTCATACAGAAAATCTTCAGGTAGTTAAACTAGAAATATGTCTACCCTTGTTTAGTGTTTACGATTATTGCAGGGTCACGGCAGTTCCTACAGTGTACAATTTTCAGCTAATAAATCTTGAATTCTGAGGTAACAAAATCAACTAGAACTCTGTAAAAGTGATTTATCAGAAATCATGCCCTTACTTCCATGATAAGAGGGATTCGTAAAAATTATAAGCAGGTTGTGGCTTATTATCTAGTAAAAGATACAAGAATCCCAGATCTAAAAATGATTATTGTTCATGTGATCACAAACTTGCAGCGACTTGGTTTGTGCGTCGTTGGCACTATTTGTAATCAGGGCGCAACGATCAAAAACGCACTTGAGACGATTTGCTCGGAGAATACTCACGGATCAAGTCCATTCCATTTTATAGTCAATGCTCAGAGTATTTCTACAATTTGTGATGAACAACATTTATTCAAAAATGGATGAAATGCTCTTATTGACATTAATATGAAAGTGAAGAAGCTGCACAGCTTGAACATGTCTAGAAAGCATATAATGTTGATCAGCAAACAAAACCATACAAAGAGCTATGTAAATTGAAACCCAGCCACTTTGATTTTATAGATTCGTTTAAGAATATAGAAATTAATCCTTTAATGGTATCGTCGGATGATTCGAGCTTTCTCAGTTATGTGGTGGGGGTCCCGTGACTTCTCATAAGGTATAACCACGTATACCTCAAACCACAGTTTAATTTAAACATCACAAGTGTTGGTTTGTTAACTTTGCGGTCAAATTTGATCCGAGGATGTCAGTTGCGTGTACGATTTGAACTTCCCTCACAATGGATTTTTTCGTTGTTGACGGATGAACAATACACCATAGATTACGCCGAGGACGACGCTGTTATCGATCAACCTGAACAACTTCATGTACAATTGGTCAAAACGAGCGCCTGCAACTGGTCGATCCAGACGACAATATTATTACGCATTTACCTGAACTAAAGTCCGTGGCAACCAATTTGGAAAATAATAACCCTGTGCCTCGAGAAATGCAGATAAATTTCTCCAAATACGTGAAATTTTCGAGTCACTCATAGAGAACTGTCGAAATTGTTAAATTTCGGGTGAGTCCCCTACAAAATACGAGATGCTCGTGGGCCGATGTCCTTCCTATGCCTACAAGAAAACTAAACCGAATAAGTATGGACTGATGATGCAAAGACTCACCACTACCTGCTCAATGCTTTCGTCTATACGAACAGAAATATCACAGCAGATGACTGGTTCACGTCAGTAGAATTGCACGTAGAATTGCGCATCAACCAACTGACCTATGTCGGCAGGAAGCGTAAAAATAAGTAACAAGTACCTCAACATGTAGTTCCAAATAAGAAGGAAACACAGCCAGGAACTTCTAAGTTTATATTCACTAGCACTACAGCCTTAGTGTAGTATCTTCCAAAACCAAATACACATGTTCTCGTATAGCAATCTATGCAGCATGACAACAAAATAGTAGAGGAATCAAAGAAACCTGATAAGATTCTATATTATTTTTATAACACTATGAAGGCGGGGGGTAATGCATTAGATCGGAAGTGTGTAAATTACAATACTGGTTAGAGAACGAGAAGATGGCCTTGTGCTATTTGGTATCCAACCAGCTTCTGTAAATTCCTTTTTTTTCAGTCTGGGACTGAAAGTTCTATTAGGCGACGAAATTTTATTGTTCCCCTGAGGCAAACTCTAATTTAACTTCGTATGAGAGGACGTTTATCAGATCCAAGACTTCCTAGGGAGCTTCGTTCAGCCATGCAAAGAATCCTAAATTACCAACGACGAATAAAGTAAGCCGTCTACTTCTCAGCCCAGAGTTCTCGATCCTGATGCAATTGTTAAAGGGAAAAAACGACGTAGGTGTTACATGACAATACACAATGAAAAAAATGTTCTACAATCTGTAATAAGTATGTAAAGTCACAGCGCAGCTACATTGTTTCGTGAAAAGTGATAAATGTGAATTATTGTACGTTTCCTTATACGAGAAAGTATTTGTTATTGTTGTAGAATATCAACACCAAATATGTTGTTAAATGGCCCATTTTGTTAGTTTTTTTATGTTCATATTACAATTCAAGTTTCGTAAATTATATTTATTGCATTACTCATCTTCAAATGGGGTATTTTCGTTTTTAGACAATAAACAGTTTTCATGTAAGAGTGTTTTATGCGTACAAACCTGTTGTACACATGGCTAAAAAGAGTAATGGCATTTCAGAAGTTGATAGTAAGATCCGGTGGATAACCTGTTTTGCGAGATTAGACGTGGGATTTCCAACACGAACCCCATCTGCTTATTTGCAGCATTAAAAACTGTAATAATCAACAATTTCAGTTTTCCATTGACAATAATGAAGAATTATGAAGGCGATTCATGTAAGGCACTAGGTAACTTCGCGTTGCTTTTAGAAGAGTATTGTCTGAATAGACAACAGTTACCTTGTGATTCTTCACCGAGCTGCATTTTTCAAGTTGAAAAATCAGGTGCTGAAAGTGATGGATCTATAGATTTGTGAGAATTTGCTGCTGCTTCAACTTCTTCTTGTAATAACAATAACAGTCTATATGAAATTTAACAATTCTGTTTCTTCTTTGATTTTGAGTCACCCTGTAAATGTAGCTCTACTAAACTATCGGACCTCATTCATAGCCTACAAGAGAAAAAAATCTTCTATACTGGAAAGGAGGAAAAAAAGAATGTATCATCCTGATACATCTGCCCCTCTTTATAACCCGTGAAATAGCCCTAGTTCTAATTAAATTTCAGTTCAAGCTTCCAAAATGACTTCCGACAATATTAAAGTAGCCACAAAGATCAGACCAATGATCCACCGCGAAGTAGCCGATGGTCTAGAGCGTCTTTGGAACGTAAGAGTAAACTGCATATGGGAAGCCGATGAAAGTAGTCGCCATGGAGAGGTTTATATATTCGACCATGTATTTAAGCAGGAATGTACAAATTCAGATGTATATGGATCTGTAGTAAAACCTTTAGTCGATTCCTTCATGGAAGGTTTCAATGCCACAATATTTGCATATGGCCAAACATCTTCTGGCAAAACACACACCATTTTGGGCAATAAAACAGATCCTGGGCTTTTCCAATTAGTATCCAATCAGTTATTCCAGCATGTGGCAGACCAGGTTGATAAGAGGTACTTGATTAGATGCAGTTATATTGAAATCTACAATGAAAAGATCAATGACCTCCTGGATAAGAGCAATCAGGGTTTAACTATAAGAGAAGATATCAAAGGAAATGTGCTGCTTGATGCAAGGGAAGCTGTCGTAGACAATGTTGATAAAGTTATGGAGAACATGATGCAGGGCAATAAGATCAGACGAGTTGCAGCTACTCGCATGAATGAGAGGTCATCTCGATCACACACGATTTTCCGGATTATTCTGGAGTCGAAAGATGCCAATCAGAAAGATGGACCTGTACATATAAGCTACCTTAACTTAATGGACTTAGCTGGTTCTGAGAGAGTTTCTCTGACGAAAGCTGCTGGTGAGCGTCTTAAAGAGGGGGCTAACATAAACAAATCTTTGTCAGTATTAGGAAATGTGATAAGGCAACTAAGCGAGGGGAAGGAGTTTATCAGTTATCGCGATTCGAAATTGACTAGACTGCTCTCACAGGCTCTTGGCGGTAATGCCAAATCGTTGATTATCGGGAATGTTACTTTAGCTGCAGAGGAGGAGACTAGATCTACACCAGAATTCGCCCAAAGCACTAAAACTGTCAAAAATAAAACGAAAGTAAACATTTTGTCAGCTACAGAAGAGACACTTCAAGGATATCAGAACTTGACTCGCGATCTCGAAACTCGGCTCAAAAAGCAGGCAATTAAGCTAAAAGAGATGGATAAAAGCAAACAAGAGTATCTGCTCGAGATAGAAAGACTAAAAACGGAAGTATCTATTGTCGAGCGCTTTCAAATGGGAGCCTCGGCATCAACACCGAAAAAAACATTAAGACGTCATACTTTTGGACACTATGGCAACGTATCACCTAAAAAAGCATCCCTAGGGTATATGCCATTGAAAAATTATCCACCCAAAGAAGAATCATCCGGACGTGAAATGAGGCCTATTCAAGAAGAGACATATGAGGAGGCACTAGCCGAAGCAGAATCTGTGATAGCTGAAGACGTGCAAGTGTACTTAAAAGACAACTCAAAGAACTGGAAGAATCTTTCAATGAGCTTAGAGAATTCACTAAACTAGATAATCAGCTGGAGATTTTGGACCTGAAGAAACAGCTCACAGAAGCCAATTCTAAATTCGATCGTTACAGTCAGGAACTCCGCCAAGTAACGGATGCGTACAACGAAGAAATAGAAAGAGTTCAAAAAATTCTCAAAAAGCGCAAGAATTTCATCGACTTGCAATACAGACTCGATTTTCTGGAAAAAAATAATAAAAAGACTAAAAACATACGAGTCAGAAATAGAGATGCTACGTACTCAACTGAAGAACCTAGGAAGATCAGAGAGCCCTAAACCATCTCTTGAAGCTCAAAATATTGAGTCAAAAAAGAAGGTTGCAGACTTAGAAGCTATGCTTGACGCTGAGTACGAAGATATGCAACATTCTTTAAGTGCTGCTGCACAAACTGATGTAACGATGTCACACATTGCTGAACTGCAAGATGAAATTGGCTTCCTAAAAGAACTTGAATCTAAACTGAGAAATGACGTAAAGAGTCTGATGGACGAGAGTAACCAACGTGAGGTCAACCACTCATTTAAAATCTCAGATATACGATGCCATAATGATTCTACTATAAAAGAGCTTCAGGATCAAATGGCTGAACTGGAATGCCAAAACGAAATCTGGATTATGAAAAAGGACGACGAAATCAGAAAATTGCAACAACTAATTACAAACCCGAAGCAGGCTGGCACTTAACCAGAACCACCTGTGCAGGAAGACGTTGCATTTTATAGGGAGCAAGTTGAGTTCTCCCAGAACATGTACAAAAATGAGATAATAGGTGGAGAGTTACGTATAAACCATAGAGAAAATCTTCAGGCAGTTAAACTAGAAATATGTCTACCCTTGTTTAGTGTTTACGATTATTGCAGGGTTTGGACAAAGTTTAGGGCTGATCCCAGTGCTCACAGTGTACAATTTTCAGCTAATAAATCTTGAATTCTGAGGTAACAAAATCAACTAGAACTCTGAAAAAGTGATTTATCAGAAATCATGCCCTTACTTCCATGATAAGAGGGATTCGTAAAAATTATAAGCAGGTTGTGGCTTATTATCTAGTAAAAGATACAAGAATCCCAGATCTGAAAACGATTATTGTTCATGTGATCACAAACTAGCAGCGACTTGGTTTGTGCGTTGTTGGCACTATTTCTAATCAGGGCGCAACGATCAAAAACGCACTTGAGACGATTTGCTCGGAGAATACTCACGGATCAAGTCCATTCCATTTTATAGTCAATGCTCAGAGTATTTCTACAATTTGTGATGAACCACATTTATTCAAAAATGGATGAAATGCTCTTATTGACATTAATATGAAAGTGAAGAAGCTGCACAGATTGAACATGTCTAGAAATCATATAATGTTGATCAGCAAACAAGACCATACAAAGAGCTATGTAAATTGAAACCCAGCCACTTTGATTTTATAGATTCGTTCAAGAATATAGAAATTAATCCTTTAATGATATCGTCGGATGATTCGAGCTTTCTCAGTTATGTGGTGGGGGTCCCGTGACTTCTCATACGGTATGAGCACGTATACCTCAAACCACAGTTTAATTTAAACATCACAATTGTTGGTTTGTTGACTTTGCGGTCAAATTTGATCCGAGGATGTCAGTTGCGTGTACGATTTGAACTTCCTTCACAATGGATTTTTTCGTTGTTGACGGATGAACAATACACTATAGACTACGCCGAGGACGACGCTGCTATCGATCAACCTGAACAACTTCCTATGGGCGACCTCGCTATGCCTATGGAAAAAACATGTACAATTGGTCAAAACGAGCGCCTGCAACTGGTCGATTATTACGCATTTACCTGAACTAAAGTCCGTGGCAACCAATTTGGAAAATAATAACCCTGTGACTCGAGAAATGCCGATAAATTTCTCCAAATACGTGAAATTTTCGAGACACTCATAGAGAACTGTCGAAATTGTTATATTTCGGGTGAGTCCCCTACAAAATACGAGATGCTCGTGGGCCGATGTCCTTCCTGTGCCTACAAGAAAACTAAACCGAATAAGTATGGACTGATGATGCAAAGACTCACCACTACCTGCTCAATGCTTTCGTCTATACGAACAGAAATATCACAGCAGATGACTGGTTCACGTCAGTAGAATTACATGTAGAATTGCGCATCAACCAACTGACCTATGTCGGCAGGAAGCGTAAAAATAAGTAACAAGTACCCCAACATGTAGTTCCAAATAAGAAGGAAACACAGCCAGGTACTTCTAAGTTTATGTTGTACAGCCTTAGAGTAGTATCTTCCAAAACCAAATACACATGTTCTCGTATAGCAATCTATGCAGCATGATAACAAAATAGTAGAGGAATCAAAGAAACCTGATAAGATCCTATATTATTTTTATAACACTATGAAGGCGGGGGGTAATGCATTAGATCGGAAGTGTGTAAATTACAATACTGGTTAGAGAACGAGAAGATGGCCTTGTGCTATTTGGTATCCAACCAGCTTCTGTAAATTCCTTTTTTTTTCAGTCTGGGACTGAAAGTTCCATTAGGCGACGAAATTTTATTGTTCCCCTGAGGCAAACTCTAATTTAACTTCGTATGAGAGGACGTTTATCAGATCCAAGACTTCCTAGGGAGCTTCGTTCAGCCATGCAAAGAATCCTAAATTACCAACGACGAATAAAGTAAGCCGTCTACTTCTCAGCCCAGAGTTCTCGATCCTGATGCAGTTGTTAAAGAAAAAAAACGACGTAGGTGTTACATGACAATACACAATGAAAAAAATGTTCTACAATCTGTAATAAGTATGTAAAGTCACAGCGCACTTACATTGTTTCGTGAAAAGTGATAAATGTTAATTATTGTATGTTTCCTTATACGAGAAAGTATTTGTTTTTGTTGTAGAATATCAACACCAAATATGTTGTTAAATGGCCCATTTTGTTAGTTTTTTTATGTTCATATTACAGTTCAAGTTTCGAGGATTATATTTATTGCATTACTCATCTTCAATGGGGTATTTTCGTTTTTAGACAATAAACAGTTTTCATGTAAGAGTGTCTTATGCGTACAAACCTGTTGTACACATGGCTAAAAACAGTAATGGCATTTCAGATGTTGATAGTAAGATCCGGTGGATAACCTGATTTTGCGAGATTAGACGTGGGATTTCCAACACGAACACCATCTGTTTATTTGAAGCATTAAAAACTGTAATAATCAACAATTTCAGTTTTCCATTGACAATAATGAAGAATTATGAAGGCGATTCATGTAAGGCACTAGGTAACTTCGCGTTGCTTTTAGAAGAGTATTGTCTGAATAGACAACAGTTACCTTGTGATTCTTCACCGAGCTGCATTTTTCAAGTTGAAAAATCGGGTGCTGAAAGTGATGGATCTATAGATTTGTGAGAATTTGCTGCTGCTTCAACTTCTTTTTGTAATAACAATAACAGTCTATATGAAATTTAACAATTCTGTTTCTTCTTTGATTTTGAGTCACCCTGTAAATGTAGCTCTACTAAACTATCGGACCGCATTCATAGCCTACAAGAGAAAAAAATCTTCTATACTGGAAAGGAGGAAAAAAAGAATGTATCAACCTGATACATCTGCCCCTCTTTATAACCCGTGAAATAGCCCTAGTTCTAATTAAATTTCAGTTCAAGCTTCCAAAATGACTTGCAACAATATTAAAGTAGCCACAAAGATCAGACCAATGATCCACCGCGAAGTAGCCGATGGTCTAGAGCGTCTTTGGAACGTAAGAGTAAACTGCATATGGGAAGCCGATGAAAGTAGTCGCCATGGAGAGGTTTATATATTCGACCATGTATTTAATCAGGAATGTACAAATTCAGATGTATATGGATCTGTAGTAAAACCTTTAGTCGATTCCTTCATGGAAGGTTTCAATGCCACAATATTTGCATATGGCCAAACATCTTCTGGCAAAACACACACCATTTTGGGTAATAAAACAGATCCTGGGCTTTTCCAATTAGTATCCAATCAGTTATTCCAGCATGTGGCAGACCAGGTTGATAAGAGGTACTTGATTAGATGCAGTTATATTGAAATCTACAATGAAAAGATCAATGACCTCCTGGATAAGAGCAATCAGGGTTTAACTATGAGAAGATATCAAAGGAAATGTGCTGCTTGATGCAAGGGAAGCTGTCGTAGACAATGTTGATAAAGTTATGGAGAACATGATGCAGGGCAATAAGATCAGACGAGTTGCAGCTACTCGCATGAATGAGAGGTCATCTCGATCACACACGATTTTCCGGATTATTCTGGAGTCGAAAGATGCCAATCAGAAAGATGGACCTGTACATATAAGCTACCTTAACTTAATGGACTTAGCTGGTTCTGAGAGAGTTTCTCTGACGAAAGCTGCTGGTGAGCGTCTTAAAGAGGGGCTAACATAAACAAATCTTTGTCAGTATTAGGAAATGTGATAAGGCAACTAAGCGAGGGAAGGAGTTTATCAGTTATCGCGATTCGAAATTGACTAGACTGCTCTCACAGGCTCTTGGCGGTAATGCCAAATCATTGATTATCGGGAATGTTACTTTAGCTGCAGAGGAGGAGACTAGATCTACACCAGAATTCGCCAAAGCACTAAAACTGTCAAAATAAAACGAAAGTAAACATCTTGTCAGCTGCAGAAGAGACACTTCAAGGATATCAGAACTTGACTCGCGATCTCGAAACTCGGCTCAAAAAGCAGGCAATTAAGCTAAAAGAGATGGATAAAAGCAAACAAGAGTATCTGCTCGAGATAGAAAGACTAAAAACGGAAGTATCTATTGTCGGGCGCTTTCAAATGGGAGCCTCGGCATCAACACCGAAAAAAACATTAAGACGTCATACTTTTGGACACTATGGCAACGTATCACCTAAAAAAGCATCCCTAGGGTATATGCCATTGAAAAATTATCCACCCAAAGAAGAATCATCCGGACGTGAAATGAGGCCTATTCAAGAAGAGACATATGAGGAGGCACTAGCCGAAGCAGAATCTGTGATAGCTGAAGACGTGCAAGTGTACTTAAAAGACAACGCAAAGAACTGGAAGAATCTTTCAATGAGACTTAAAGAATTCACTAAACTAGATAATCAGCTGGAGATTTTGGACCTGAAGAAACAGCTCACAGTAAGCCAATTCTAAAATTCGATCGTTACAGTCAGGAACTCCGCCAAGTAACGGATGCGTACAACGAAGAAATAGAAAGAGTTCAAAAAAATTCTCAAAAAGCGCAAGAATTTCATCGACTTGCAATACAGACTCGATTTTCTGGAAAAAAATAATAAAAAGACTAAAAACCTACGATCAGAAATAGAGATGCTGCGTACTCAACTGAAGAACCTAGGAAGATCAGAGGCCCTAAACCATCTCTTGAAGCTCAAAATATTGAGTCAAAAAGAAGGTTGCAGACTTAGAAGCTATGCTTGACGCTGAGTACGAAGATATGCAAGATTCTTTAAGTGCTTGCTACACAAACTGATTGTAACGATGTCACACATTGCTGAACTGCAAGACCGAAATTGGCTTCCTAAAGAACTTGAATCTAACTGAGAAATGACGTAACGAGTCTGATGGGACGAGAGTAACCAACGTGAGGTCAACCACTCATTTAAAATCTCAGATATACGATGCCATAATGATTCTACTATAAAAGAGCTTCAGGATCAAATGGCTGAACTGGAATGCCAAAACGAAATCTGGATTATGAAAAGTGCCCCTCTTTATAACCCGTGAAATAGCCCTAGTTCTAATTAAATTTCAGTTCAAGCTTCCAAAATGACTTCCGACAATATTAAAGTAGCCACAAAGATCAGACCAATGATCCACCGCGAAGTAGCCGATGGTCTAGAGCGTCTTTGGAACGTAAGAGTAAACTGCATATGGGAAGCCGATGAAAGTAGTCGCCATGGAGAGGTTTATATATTCGACCATGTATTTAAGCAGGAATGTACAAATTCAGATGTATATGGATCTGTAGTAAAACCTTTAGTCGATTCCTTCATGGAAGGTTTCAATGCCACAATATTTGCATATGGCCAAACATCTTCTGGCAAAACACACACCATTTTGGGCAATAAAACAGATCCTGGGCTTTTCCAATTAGTATCCAATCAGTTATTCCAGCATGTGGCAGACCAGGTTGATAAGAGGTAC